TTCTTATTTTAAGAGGAAAATCCTCTAAATAGTAATATTGATAAGAATATAAAAAGCCTCTATAGAAAAGCATATATATCTCACTGTCGAAAAAGACTATATTCTTAAATAAAGAATATATTCTTAATTTCAGAAGAATATCATCTAAAATCTTTAAGAAGATTTTTTAAGTATAAAATCTTCTATACTTACAAGAATATAATTTTTTCGGTGTATTTATTTCTCTTATCGCGTCACGCGAAGTGACATAAATAATATGTGTGGATAGATTGTACAAAACTGCTTAGATAAATATGCAAAAATATTCTAACGCATTTAACATTCCAATCCGAAAGAAAGAAGTTACATACGTTCAAATTTCAGAGAAACGAAAATTCAATTTTTTTTTTTTAATTCTATTTTCGGGGGAGAGGAAGTTTTTTTGCCTACCGCTCTTCTCAAATATGGCACCTCGTACTCGGTCGATTTAACCGTCATTCTTAATGCTTATCGGGAGACAATGCACCAGACAAACGCACGCACTCTCTCGTTGCACTGCTCGTTACTTTCACTCCGATCGAACGGACGTAAAGAAAATTTATGTATAATCGCGCGCCTCGCGTTCCCGACACCGATGTCCAACACCGTTCTCCAGAGTGTCTCCGCAACACGTGCCAAAGACTGCTGGGTCGGTACCCCCGCCAAACGTTCTTATACGCGAGCGAGCCTCACACGCACATATCTCTGCCACCCGGAAGGTATGTACGTGTGCAAAAACGCCAGGTGCGTGTGTGCGTGCGTTTGTATTTAACATGGCGCTACAACGCCTTTGTACTGGTTGACTTTTTGCGATTACACACACACACACACACGTGCGCGCGCGCGTACTTCGTTATGGAAAGCTGATACTCGATGCGGGAGCTTGTACACCAAAGGCGTAAGCTCAGACAGATTGTTCGTGTCTTAATTTCATGGTAAGCGATACAGCGATGATCTTCGCGCGCGTACGTAAAAAAAAGTACGTAATCACCTCAAGTCAGCAATAAAAGCGCGCAAATGTCGCGTAGCCGAGGTAACGATAACGTCGGAATCGTAAAGAAACCGCAAATTTGCAAAAGAAACGTTTTTCCGCGACAAACAATAAATTTTACGAGAGACAGTCGAAGAATGGGAGAAATTTTTATCCTCGATCCGTCTCTTAATTACGCGCGTGTACTTTTTTCAACAACAGGTCGGTCTTGAAACTGTTTTACAACGATAAAGTGATAAAAAAAAAAAATGTTTGAGTTTTTTTATCGCGCGCGCGACCTCGATTAAATCAAAAAATCGGAAAACAAAAAGAAAGGAGAGAAAAAAAACGCGTTAACGCGGGCGTAGAAAAAAAAAGAAAAAAAAAATTCGCATCGTCACATTTCGATAGAATCGCGAATGGGAAAAGTTCGCATTATCATCATCAACGTCCGCTTGTTCGCGGGCGTGAGTTTGTTTGTGTTTTGCATGTCGATAAATATTTACAGTCGCGTAAATTATTTATCGACGCATTTTTTGACAACGGTGCGCAAGCAGCGGCGTCTTCTGACGTCGTCGTCGTCGGCGGCGATAGCCGAGTGTACTTCGTACACTCGTTGATTACAACAACAATAATCGCGTCAGTGTATTATAACCGCCGCATTTGTACCATGCACTTTGTGACATTAATTCACGAGAAATGCACGAGAGACTGTGCGTCGGACTTTAAACTGCCGCTCGAAAAATATCAATGTAATATCATCATCAATCGTGTTTCCACGACGTTATTACAACGTTGTTACGACCTTTATCCCGGATATGAGAGAAGCTGGACAACACAAAACACGTGGCGAAATCGTTTTTTTTTTTTTTTCATTTTCATTTTCAATCTGTTTTAAAAAAATAAATTTTATCAAAAACCTTCGTTTTGCAACCCCGAGATATGTGCGCGGCCTAGAAAAATAAGCTGGAAAAACAAACTTCATTCCCGCATGGGGGGACGTGTTTGATTTTTACGATGGACCGCTTCTCAAACATTTGTTTTATGACGAAACTTTTTGCGCGTCTTATATTTCGTTATCTATCTCGCAAATGAGAAATCCAAAGTTTGCACGGCGCTACCTTCGCGCCGAGTCTCGTGATCGCGCGTGTGAATTAAGTATCCGCAAAAATTGGATACTTCTCCGCGTAGGCAACATTTCTTCCTTGAGAAATTGTCTCGCCGAAACGTTCAAAACAAACTTGTTTTGTCCGGCCCGGTCTAGTCCAAGATATCGTTTCGAAAGCGGATCAGCAACTGTCGACACACAGTCAAAGTCCAAGTGTCGCACTATAATAAAAATTAAGAGGTATGTTAAATAAATACATCGCCGGAAGAAAAACGCATCGCGAATAAAATTCAAAACGACTTTTTTTCGGGAACAAAAAAAAAGAAAGAAAAAACAAAGCGTATTGAATTTGATATCCACCCAGGACCAGTGGCTCCGTTTGGTTTTAAGCTTACTTTAAAAAAAAAACAACGCGTTACGTAAAGAGCGCCTTAGATTGTAATTTGCATTAGTTAAAAATCTCAACAGGTTACGTTAATTAACATCCATTACCAATGCAAACAGAAGCGCGCAACGAATAAAAAAAAATAGATATATATATACGCGAATTAATGTTGAATTCGCGTTGGAGTCTGATAAAAAACACAACGACTGCGAAATAAATTGCAAAATCTGTCTATCGCGTGATGTCAATTGATTTATTTTCAAAATTGCGTCATCAAATCAGTCATTTGTTAAAAAAAAAAAAAAAAAACAAGATAGAAAATATTAAAATCACGCGTGTGTTTCTTAGTTTCAACGAGTATGTATCATCATTGTCGTCATTACTCGCACTGCTAGTTACGAGAAATTAATACGCGCGGTCAGACGCGGAAAATACAAACAGCGGTCACGTTTAAACCTATTTTTTTTTTTTTTTTTTCCACGACGATATACATTTCATTAACTGGTGCATACGGCGAACTCGATACTCGACGGAGGCACGACTGGACGAGATTACCAATGCTAAAGCGACTGGTTGCAAACGCGACGTGCGGCGGAACGTAAAAAAGTCCGACCCGCGGTCACATATGATCGGACGTATAACTCGCGTTATATAATTCTCCACATTATTCCTCACATCACAAATATAGACGTTTACGCACGGAAGAGTCGGACGTTTCAAGAACGATGGCATTTCTTTTTGCAATAACGTTCGTTTCGACGAAGATATGAAAAAATCTCTCTTTGACACAATTTTTCTTCTTTTTTTTTTCTCTCTCTCTCTCTCTCTCTCATTCTGTTTTATTTTAACGACATTCCTCGGTCAAAACGCACATTGAAGATACCTAACATTGAGAATTAACAAATTGCTATCCGCAGACGTGCGTGGAATCAGCTTTCAATCAAGGTGCAACTCTCTCGCGGAGCCAATCGGAGAGACGCTGGAAAATTGAGCGATATTGATCGCGCGCAAAGACGAGCGAGGGATAAAAGCGCGATTGAGCTCACGGTCGGCGAGTGCACGGTGTGTGCAAAACCTGTAAAAAAAAAAACCTTGGAAACGACGACCCGGACGCAATTCGCACGCGTCACACGGCAAATCCCGCGCATTATCGCGGTCGTGTGTTGTTTCTCTTGAAAACTTCTTCTCTTCTCAGTTCGAAACAAATCAGAGAGATTTCTTTCGGAAGATTGAAGATGATCGGAAAATTTTGAACGCAACGTATATGTCCGCAACGTATATGTGTTCCGTATATATGGAATTACACGCATTGTGCGCAATTTTTTCTGTTGCAATATTCATGAAAAATCGTGAAAAAATACAACACATTATGAGAAGAGACGGAAACTCAACGCGCGCGGAATTGAATTTTCAATTCGTCGAAAAAAAAAGATTATGTAATTATTCGCAAATCATTGTTTTTTTTTCTTTCTAATCTGAAACGCTCTGCTTTTAAAAATCGTAATTCCATTGTTTCATCATTTTCGATTATCACAATCGGTCGAGATCATTTCGTTCAAGCTGACCGATCCGTCGATTAATTTAATCGAAGATGGTGAAACTGAAAACAAAAACAAAAAAAAAACAATAAAAAGTCAAGTTAAAAAATAACGACAGTTGTGAAAAATCGAGATATTGATCTTTCACTTCCACACGGTCATTCGTCAAAAGAATGTTAAATGACAATGA